AGTAACCAAAACAACCCTCTTTCAAAGAATCAACTAAAGGGGAGCTCTGGTGGCCTAGTGGCAAGAAGCTGCACTGCAATCCCAGAGGAACACGGTTCAAATCCACCAGATGCTCTGCCGGAGAAGAAGGCGCAATATCCTCCTGTACCAGTCAGATCTGATATGACGGTACACGCACACAAAATAATAAAAAAAAAAATCAACTAAAACCACTGCCCTCACTCACAATGACCCCCCCCACCCCCCATGGGTTTCTGAGGCTGGGAATCTTATAAGAGGAGATGCTCCTCTTTCTCCTGAGGGGTTTGTAGATTTGAACTGCCAGCCTTCGGGTTAGCAGCCTGATTAGTTATATGCTGTGCCACCACACTGCACCACTCGGTGTCCGTCACATGTGTTGAGTACCATTAAGTCAGAGCCAGCTCATAGCTGACCCTCCAGCAGGTTTTCAGAGGCCGTTAATCCCAGGGGAGGAGACCACTCATCATCCTTCTCCCGTGGAGCAGCTGGCAGGATCGAACCCTGTGCCTTTGGAATTGCAGTGCAGCTTCTTACCACTAGGCCACCAGCGCTCCGCACCACATGTGTGCTTGTAATAAATTAGGTTATTTAAGTAGATGACTGGTGAATTGACCCAAAATGATCGGGTTGGAACAGACTAATAGCTGACCCTCTGGCGGGTTTTCAGAAGCTACAAAGCACAGGAGAAGATCAGCCACTTTCTTCCACGGAGCCACGAGTGGGTCTGAACTGCCTGAGGGTGCTGCCCTTGTGTTAACAGTGCAGCTCCCGCTGACTATTTTTCTAATTTGCAGATGGTGTCATTTGGATTAGGGCAGGCCTGGTGAGAGAACAAAAATATGTTTGTTAAAGGCTCTCCACGCCCTCTCTGAACGCTGGCCCAGGGGCCTTTTCTCATAGCCCAGGGGGAACGAATGCCTGTCTGTCCTGCCAACAACACTCCTTCCTGTGCACCTCTGCTTTGCAGAGCAGTGTTTCCTTCCATTCCTTCAACCCTCATTCCACCTCCTTTCTCATTTGGTCTCTTTAGGGGCCAGAGAAAAGGACCCCTTCCTGAAATACTCTACTCTTACAATAACTATTTACTTTAAGAAAAGGAAAAACATTTTATTTTTTTTATAAAAGTTTACACAGCAAGCCTCCATTTGATGATTTCTATACAAATTATTTGGTAATGTTCCTATTTCCCACAATGTGTCAATATTGTTTTCAATTGCATTCTGGTTGTTCTGTTTCCAGTACTCTCACTTCCCTGCCCCTCTGCATTCTTACCTTCACATATGTACTTCAGTGTAATTGTTGACCTTTGGTCTCATACACATGGGTGGTTTGTGGGTTGCTTTTTTTTTTTCTGTAGCACTGTATTGATGAGTAAAATCCTTTGTTCTGTGTGCCAATCTGCTAAAAGGTGACCTTGGAGAATAGTTTTAGTTCAATATTTAAAGTGTATCTTAGGGCAATAGTCTCAGGAAGTCCTCTGCTCTCAGCTGACTCAGTAAGACTGGACTTTATAAGAACTTGAGTGCCCTTCTGTGTTTTTCTCTTGTTCTGTCCAGGTCTATCTATTGCACCCTTAACAATAATGATTGGCAGTTACAGCCAGGCACGATCTAGTCCTTCGGGTCTCAGGGTAGATCAGGCCGTGGCTAAAACAGGCGACTAGTCCTGTGGGCTAGTTTCTTCTCTGAGTATTTGTGTTTTCTTTCTAGTTTGCTCCTTATGAGTAGAGACCACTGGTTTTTTTGTATCTTAGCGTGGCTGTTTGCAAACTTATGAGACCTTAGTTGATCCTCAACCTTACAAGGATGCAGAATGTGAACTTGGTTATGTCAATTGAGTTGTCCCAGGGGACTAAGCCTTCAAATCTGAAAAATCTCACAGTGTGTTTAAGTCTCAGATGTATCTGTGACTTCATATATTGACTCATAATGAACTCTCAGAAAGAGCTCTTTCTCTCCATTTCCACCTGAGGAGGAGGAAAGGGGCCTCATTCTTCCACTCACTGTCCTTTCCACCCCTAGTTCCCTTGGGTTGATTGTCTGGATAATATTCCTTTGAGTGGATTGCCCAAATTTACTCAACCAGTTTTCAGTCATTGGACATTGGTCCATTTTCAGCTCTCAAAAGCAACATCTGAGTATAAACCTTTCTCCATGTTTAGTTTATTCCCAGAAATAGATTGGACAAGGCAATGGGGAAGACTTTAGGTACATACTGTCTTGGGACATTTGGAAAAAGAAACAAACAAAACCTGAAGGTGCAAACAAAATTCCCCGGTGAAGAAAAAAAAAAAGAAGGGGAATAGGTGGAGCAGTCAAAGAAAATAACGGCGGGCAGAGTGAGTGGCCAGAAAGGGGCCACTGTGAGGGGCCAGTGTCAGACACGCTACCAGCAAGACAGCTCAGGCACGGGGGT